TTTATTTTAACTTTAAAACAAATCTGTTCTAGTTTATCTAACAAATTAGAGTTTGAAAATTACTTTTAATTTTTGACAGAAAACAAAAGGATATACTTTAAATTCTGTAATTAATAATCATTAAAGTTCACAAGCCCTCTCACCAAGGCAAGATTTCAATCCAAGAGGAGGAAAAATTGAAACTTATTAACTATTAATTATATTCAAATTTTTAAAATTAGAAGTTAATTGAACAATCAAATTATTTAGTATAGGTTTACTGCAATTTAAAAAAATATAAATAATTTTTAAAGAATTTCATTCCAACCGGATATAAATTATTATTAAAATCTGAAAACAATTGAAGTCTCATAATTTTAAGTAGATTCATGAAAATAACATCTCTCCAAATTTTTGAAATAAAAAATGTTAACGAAAAATGCCAGTTTATATAAAATATGAAAAATATCGGTACGAGAAAATCAAGAAAAAAGTAAATGTTAAAAAGTTTAGTCATCTGTCTTATAGTTAAGTGGGCGTGAATCACATATTAATTCAGATAAGAGATTTACACAAATCACACAACTACTAAAAAATTATTTTGATACCGTAGGAAATATGATGCTGACCTATTGCAAGCAAGATTGAGTAAATAAAGAACTGTGCTGGACCAAAGATAGCTCTGGAAAATTCCGACAATGTCTCTAGATCTGGCACCCCTTGAATGTGAGGTTTTAAAAACAAGAATTTGTAAAAGTCCACTCCAAAATATTCAAAAACTAAGACATATGATGATCTAAAAATTGAGTTCTACAACCAAAAATGGTCTGTATACCATCAGGGTTATTACTTAAGGGTCAGTGGCCAAAGACTCGGCAGTTAGAGGGTTGGAGCTATTCCACAGTTCAATTCAATGGCAAGGACAGTTAGGTCAGAGGTTTCATATACCGAGTACCTACTAATCCAGAATGATGCAATACTATTAGTCCTACTAAAGGGCCTTGTACTGGTTTTTTCAAGGTGAGGGGGAAATTTTGCAGTCCAGGAACTGTGTTATTGCGAAGGTATATCAAAACAAATTCCGTATAATTAGAAAAAAAAGCAAGGAACAAACATTTACACAATAGAACTACTTTCTAGGCTGTGAAACTTACTAAAAAAGACCAAACTTGATAAAGGTCGAGATGGAAAAGGCCCCACATTCCTAATCAAATTTATTTATAATATAACCCAGAAAGTTGGCGACGAGTTCTAAAATAGGTCATGTTTTTGTCTAAAGAATATATTATTTTCTCTATGTATGTTTTATTTATAAATACATTAGGCCTACATAAATTGTCTTTTAATGAGCTATTTTGGATTAGAAATATAATAGAATACATATTTTAGTAAAATCGATTTGCAGTAATGGATTATCCAGTCTATGAAATAAACGAAAAAAAAAAATGGTTATTATTTATTAAAGTTTAACAGAGCCGATAGAGCGCTAAATATTAATAAATAAAACAATAATTTGTATAATTGGGTATCTAATCTAAATGCATATTATCTGAAATGAATGACTTATTGCATTGTATTGTAAATAATACCTATCGAAAACGTACCGCAAGGCATTACAGGGTGGAAAAGACCTTTTCGGCGAAATCCAAAAACACGTCAAGTTTGTTTATCAAGGCGACACCTTTTGACGCAAAAAGCATAGTAAAACCTTCAACACCCTCAGTAGGGTTGTCATCCTCCAATTTTTTCAAAGAGGAAGGGGGTTAAGTGATACCTCATTAAAAGGGTCTTGACATTCCCTATACAATGCTGCTGAGTTTTTCAAAAGCAAACCATTCGTTTAGAAAATTATAAAGCTTTGAAAGTTAAACAATAATGTGTGACGGAAAATGCAAAAAGCGATTTAATTTCACTTGAAACCTTGCCGTATTTTGGAAATTACATTATTTATTCCCAGATTTAAAACAAAACACTTCATTAACTCGAAACACTAAAACATTTATTGCTATAATGGTATTTTTCAAATTAATTTGCTGTTTGTGCCGCTTTGCAGATTCTTTAGGCTCTTTTTTGTTGATAAAAAATTGTCGGGTTTCTTCCTTCACGTTTAAATTAAAGTATTTGCTAGATAACTCTCTTATGGTTAGTGTTTCAGTATCATTGTCATTTTGAACATTAAGATTTATCTATTATGGTGTATTCAATTGCAGAAAGAGTGGAAATTATTGAGCTTTTTTTCAAAAACAATGAGTATGGAAATCGGGTCGTGGAGCTGTTTAACCAACAGCATCCTGATAAACATCTCTCTGGGAAAATTGTTAGCGAATTGGTGGTAAAATTTCACAACACAGATTCGGTTCACAACAAAAAGAGGAACCGTGAAAATCCAGTGTTAAATGAACCTACGGAGATAGCAGTATTGGGGCTAGTTACAGTGAGTACGCTGAGTACAAGACAATTGGCCATTGCGACCGATGTGTCTCGTACAAGTGTCCAACGGGTTTTAAAAAATACAAATTCCATCCTTATAAAATTCGCTTAGTGCAAGAACTGAATGAAGACGACTTCGATCGTCTCTCGCAAGTTTGCGAAATTATTAGTGAGCGAGCGTTGAACAATGATAATTTCCTATTTAATGTGTGTTTTTCGGATGAGTGTTCTTTCTTCCTACACGGTTTAGTGAATCGCCACAATTGCCGTTACTGAGCTGACAGCAATCCAAGGATTTTCCACCAAACACACACACACAACACCCCGAGAAGTTAAATGTATGGGCTGGTATTTTTGGAAATTCCATTGTAAGTCCATTTTTCCTTCCTGGAAATTTAACAGGCGATATGTACTTAGATTTACTACAAAATGCCATCGACCCAGCTCTAATATAGAGAACGACCCCGCATATAACAAACAAGAACTGATTTTCAAACAAGACTCGTGAAATGTGCGCAATTATTTAAATGACACATTTTCACGACGATGCATAGGGCGAAGGGTCGCAACTAAGTGGCCACCTCGGTACCCGATTGTATATTTTTTTAGTGGGGACACATAAAAAGCGTAGTTTACAAAACTGCATCTGGCACATTAGAAGAGTTGCGAAAAAGAATCATTAATGCATATCGCGAAGTGACACTGCAAATGCTCCAAAATGTACGCCAACGATTTTAAGATGTATCACAATATGCAAGTTGGCAGGCAGCACTTCGAGCATTTACTTGACTAATACGGTAAGCATTGAATCGCTTTTTGCATTTTCCGTCACACATTATTGTTTAACTTTCAAGGCTCCATAATTTTCTAATTGAATGGCTCGATTTTCAAAAACTCAGCAGCGTTGTATAGAGAATGACAAGACCCTTTTAATGAGGTATCACTTGACCGTTTTTCCCCTTTAAAAAAATTTGGAATAGGTTGCCCCCTTGACAAACAAACTTGACGTGTTTTTGGATTTCGCTGAAAAGTTATTTTCCTCCCTGTAATGCCTTGTGGTACATTTTTGATGGGCCACCCTGTATATAAAAACGCCAAAAATGAAATCGTTAAAAAACAACGCTAAATATTAATACAATTTTGATGATAAATCCTTGTCTTATAAAAATCAATTGTTTCAAAATATACAGTGAGGTCCTAAAGTAACGGATAATTTAATTAGCGAACTTATTAATGATTTAAAGAGAAACTCCTGAAACTGGTCAATTTTTTATTTTAAATTCAAAATTTTTGACGTAACAACTTTAACCTTTAGGTGAGGTAAGTACCGGTATTTAAAAAAAAAATATTCTTTTTTCTGCCGAGGCAACTTCTACTTTACATGGAACAGTCAACAAGCAAAATTGTCGTTATTGGAGTCGACAAAATCCTCATTGAATGGTGGAAAGCCACACTCAATATCCTAGTAAATTAAACGTTTGGACTGGAATATTAAATGATCGAATTGTCGGGCACACGACACATTGACTGGGGAGCGTTATTTGGATTTTTTACAAAAAGTTAAAAAGACTTTGTCCTTATGGTGTTGACCCTAACGAAATAAACGTATGGTATCATCAAGATGGAGCTACACCATATTATGCAGCAGCAGTAAAAGCCTATCTTAATCAAATTTTTCCAAGTAAATGGATTGGTCGACGCGGTGAAATACGAATGGCCTTCTCGTTCTCCAGACATGACCCCTCTGGACTATTTTTTATGAAGTTATCTAAAATCAAAGGTCTACTTCAACAGACCAACCAACATAGATTATTTAAAAACCAGAATAAGTCATGAAATTAAACAAATCGTCCCAGAAATTTTACATAATGTTTTACAAGAATTTCAACGTTTTTTTTATTTGAACACATGATCTAAATTATTTTCATTTAAATTTGTGTTGAAGATATTAAAATGCATTTTCAAATTTGTTTTTTAAGGAATATTTAAAAATTAAAACCTACTAAGTTTCTGAATAGAGAATTAAAATGAGGTGTCACATTCCCATTAGTTTTATTTTAAAAGACTTAAACGGGCAATTACCCCACCGAGAGGGGCAACCTGACCGGTAAAGTTGTTACGTAAAAAATTTTGAATTTATAATTAAAAATCTCAGCATTTTTCTTCAAATCATTAATAAGGTCGCAAATAAATTTATCCGTCACTTTAGGACCTCACTGTACGTACAATTTCATAATTTTAAAGCAAATTCACTTTTTAAACAAATTTATAATTGCTTTAAATTTAACCCTGAACTTCACCAAAAACGATGACTGGTTAAAATATCTTTGTCAGTGTCAACTAAGAGTACTAAAGTACTAAAATTGTGAGGCAATAGTAAATTGTATGCCTAGGCGGAAAATTGTTTTCCACCATGGTTCGCACATTTTTTTACACGCAAACATCTTTTTTAACATTTTAGTTTGTTAACATAGACTTTTCCATAAAGTCTATTGTAGACTTTGGTTTTAGGTTAATTTATATTTGACTGTTCTTAAAGATGTCCAGTAAATTATGGTAAAATCATTATTATTTATTTTTATTCTTTTCAGACATCTAGTGGAAGTATAACGAGCTCCCTTCGTCAATTCAGAAGAAAAAATGAAGATAAACAGTCTCACAGTGAGAATAATACTACTTCAGCGCCAGCCGAAGCTCATGTAGCGAGGGTGGCGCCTCACAGTCACTACCCACCTAGGTCAACCACTGAGTGCTACCGGTATCCCTCCCAGTATCCAGATTATGGGTAAAGACTTTGATCGATTTGATTCTGTTATATTCTGTTATATTGTATACTTTACTTTTAGATTACAACAACAGCCTGTAAAATACTCCGAGATCTCCGAACCACACGCTCAATTGCAAGACCACTTAACGCCGTCAGTTATTCAGAAAGCTAAAACCAAAGAGTATATGGAGATGTGTAACGTTCAACAGCAGCACATGAAACCTTCGTACGACCACCTCAATGGCCAACAAACTTACCCCGATGCAAATGTTCACCCGCATACTCAATATCTTAACAAAGATTCACAAGTAAGTATGAAGAGTAATAAATTTAACACCCCATTTACCGTCAAGTTCCACGAGCTAGATTTCCATTTAACCCTTTATTTTTAGGTTCATCATGGATACAAACCAGAATCTCAATATTACTCCAAAGATCCACAATACTCCCAACAACATCTTCCTCATCAAATTCCCAAATATCCGCAAATGCCGTCTCAAGTTCGGAAGTACCCTCCAGGGAACGATTTTCTCTCAAAATTACAACGAATCCATCCCACTATGGCCAGATCCATAATGACTGACCACCATCTCCAGGAGTCCCAATCATCCTATCAAGCAATGGATCAGAACCGAATGTATCCAATTCAAAACCAGAGATATATTAATTACCCTTCGGGAATGCAGAATAGCGCTTACAGCCACGGATACATGCCTTATTCAAATTATCCTGCCAGTTGTAGTTACAATAGACCACCACAGATGGCTCCGAGGTTTCCACCCGCGAATCCTCATGAGAGGAGCATTTCGCCTAGACGGGGTTATCCAGATAATATGGGGATTCCCATGAATTACGGTGGGATTACCTCTCAGAAGATTTCTCCGAATTACCCGCAATACAATGCTCCTGAATATGCTCAACATTACCAACACAGGAGAGCTCAGATGACACAGGAATACTATCAGCAACATTGCAGGTAATTCAAATCTTATATATTGTTCACATTGGTTTTAATTTATCTATGTTTAGGCCCAACCAATACCTTCCACATCAAATGCCTCCACAAGATATGTCAGAAAGTCGTGTAACAGTCTCTGACAGCATAAAACACTATATAGAGAATTGGGCAGACGAAGAAACAGCTTCAGAAATGAACCAAATGGAGAATTCTAGGTTATGTAAAGATAATATTAGAGGAAGAGAAGACCAGTCAACAGAAACTGTTTATATGATCAACGCTTCTGAACTCCAATATTTAGAAAATGAAATGGTAACTTCTGAGAATGGTGTACCTGTACCTGTGGTAAGAACTTAATCGTTTCCATATTCTTCAATTTCCTAAATTATCTCTGTTTTAGGTGGCCTCTGAATCAGGGCAGTACATAATAAAGAGTGGGGTTTCTATAGTAAACGGACAAGAAATGGTGAGGATTGTGGAAAAAACGGGTCAAGTAGAAATCGACCAAAATGGAGAACGAGTAGTAAACCTGCATATCATGGATACAACCAAACCAGATTGCATGCTGGCGAATAAACCAAATGAATTAAACCAAAGACAAATACATGAAACCTCTTACCCAGTGGGAGAGAATCCACGCGTAGTGGTCCATCAAAATACAGTTATAACTGCTGGGGTACCAAATCTTAATGTACAAAAAGAATCAATTGATGCACCAGACGATCCTATCAAAATAGGGACCAGTTTACCAATAATAACAGACACTCTAGAAGAGGAGCTCAAGCGAACTATTATAAAAGAATGTAGAAAAGAAATGGCTGATAAAAATTGCTCACCTATCAATTTAGACCAGTTAGAACAATATGATGAAACATGTCAAAAGTCTTTAGAAAACAGCTTAGTAGAAGAAATTGCCAGTATACAAGAATTGTCTGATTCGCCAAAAGATATTTCTTTCATAGACGCTCATCTTAGAAATGAAAATTCAAAGACTGAGAAAGAGGAACAACAAACTTCTACTCTAGAAGTCGATGATCCTCACAAACACATTGACACTCTCTTAGGGGATACTATTAATATATCAGAAGCAATAGAAGTCCAATCAGAAGTTTTGTTAGAAACAAAAACAGAAATCGTTGCCAATAATGAAGAAAATGATGTTCATAAACAAACAGAAATTCCAGATACTTTACACATATCTAATAAAGATAACATAGTACAAGAAGAAATGAAAAAAGATGAGACTGAACTTGAATCAATTACTAATGAATGTGAACGTCAAGAAATTAGTCATACTAATAATAAAAATAGAGAAAATCAAGAAAATAACATTGGAGAAACTATGGATTCCCAAAACCAACCCGATGAGATAAAATCTAAAGAAGGTGAAAAAACTAAACAAACAGAAAATCAAAAAGAAATTATTATTAATAAGGAATTAAAACAAAATCAGGAAGTAGCTGAAAGCACGTCTAAAGAAAATATTCAAGAAATTGAAAATAAGCAAAATTCCAACAATACCGTCATAGAAAAAAATTCAGACTTAAAAGACTGCTTAACTCAACCTTCTGTAAAAATTGACAAGACTCTGATTAGGAGGAACAGAAGAATTTTTTCTGTTGACGATATCATAAACAACATTGGCAAAAGACTAAAACAGTCCGATAATAGCGATAATATTTCAAGACGATTCAGTTTGCAAACTACTAAAGAATTTCTAGATAAAGAAAGCAAAAACATATTTAAACTTGCTGAATTTGTTCAACAGAAATCGGATGTTCCGATAAAACAAGCAGAAGAAAAAAATATCTTAAAACAAGATGAGCAAGAGAAAGATGATAATCAAAAATTATCCAAAAATTACGTTATTGAAGAAAAAGTAATTAATGAATGTTTAAAAACTTCAATTATTGATCCAGATATTAAAGATGATGTTATAGAGGAAAAAATAAATAATGAATGTTTAAAAATTAAAAATAATGATGCAGAAATTAAAAGTAACGTTGCAGATGAAACAATAAATAATGAATGTTTTAAAATTAAAAATAATGATGCCGAAATTAAAAGTAACGTTGCAGATGAAACAATAAATAATGAATGTTTTAAAATTAAAAATAATGCCGAAATTAAAAGTAACGTTGCAGATGGAACAATAAGTAATGAAAGTTTACAAATTTTAAATAACGATGCTGAAATTAAAAGTAACATTGTAGATGAGAAACTAAATAATGATGTAGAAATTAAAAATAATGATAGAGAAATTAAAAATAATGATGAAGAAATTAAAAATAATGATGCAGAAATTAAAAATAATGATGCAGAAATTAAAAATAATGTTACAGAAATCAAAAATAATGTTGCAGAAATTAAAAATAACGTTGTAGAAGAAAAAATAAACAAGGATTGTTTAGATATGACAAATAATGATGCAGAAATGAAAAATTACATTAGAGAGAAAGAAATAAACAACGAATTTTTAAAAATTTCAAATACAGATTCAGAAAAATGTAAGACACCGGAGATTCAGATGGAGGTAACAACTGAAGATTTCGCAGAAGGAAAAATAGCTGAAAAAAATTGTAATTACGTTAACTCACTACATAACACAAAAGATGATATAATAATTCACGATAAAGTATCTGATGAAGATGTTTCAACCCAAGAAAATGGCTCGCTTTGTTCAGAAGATAAAAGCAGTTTTGTCAAAGAAAAATTAATAAATTCTGAACCAATAAATGAAGAAGTTACCTTGGAAGATAACGTTGAGGTTCCTGAAAATAATGAAATTATTACAGAAACTCCGATAACTAAAGTTAATAGTCAAGACACAAGTGAGGAAATACCAAAATCTTCGTCAGTTCTTATTGATCTTAATAAAAATATTGAAAATAAAGAAGTTTCAGAGTTAGATGTTGAACCAAAAGAAATCCCACTACCTATCCAACCAGAAGTGCAATATCGACATGTTATAAGAGTAGAGGAGTCAAATGTACTTCTTGAAATCGCTGGCGAATTAGTCGAAATTAATGTTAACAATATAAATGGTAAAAATGTAATTACTGTTGTTCCACTATCAGACACTGCTATGGTTGATTTTAATGATAACTATGAAACCTACGATAATTCTGAAGCTACAGATCCCTTAATGTTAGACGAAGTACCAGACAATACTGAACATTTGGAAGCTGTAGATTTTGTTGAAACTCCAGAACCTGAAGTAGTAGAGACCACCAGCGAGATCATAATAGGAATGGATCTAAGCCTTGAGGAAGAGATCAAGCTTGATGTCGAACAACCCCCAGTATTGTGTACTAAAGCTGCTAAAAAGGCATATGATTGTGATTTACAAATTCCATCTATAACCACTAGCGAAGATGTACTTAGATCTAACAATTGCACATCTAATGATAAAGTCAGTTCAACCAAAACGAAATCAAAAATAAATAAAATTAAAAATAAAACTAGCTCGCCAGATTCGTCCAAATCATTCGATTTGCGAAAACGATTAGCGAAGAAATGCGATAAAAAGTCGTTATTTAGAGATCTCATAGCTGCTAGAAATCGAAAAAAGCTCAAACAAGAGCCAAGTAAATCTGAAGATGACGATTTTGTTCCTTTCAAAGAATTAGTAAGAGCTCGTAAGTTGAAAAAACTTAAGTTGTTAAAAATGAAAAGAAATGAAGATTCTAGAGTGGATTCGACCATCAAAATTGATGAAACTCATAAAGAAAGTGAAATAGTTTTGGAACAAGACAAATATGATAATGATAAAATGAAGATTACTAGGAATCTCCATCCAATTTTGAAAGTGCCTTCTGAAGATGAAGTTAAATTAAACAAAACTGATCCGAAAAAATCCAGCAATGAAGTTAATCTAAATGAGAAATCAGAAACGAAAATTCAACCAAAACCTATAAGAGTTAAAAGGGTTTCTTTTGTTGATATAAACCAAGAAATTGAACAACCGGATGATAAGGTGGTGGTCGAAAGAAAGCAAAGTGAGGAAAAAATTAAAAGTGAGAATTTTAAATTAGAAGAACCTCGGGTACCTTCTCAGAATGGTCTTTCAAAGCCTGCCCAAACAAAAAAGAAACTCAGCTTAGAAGAATACAATAAAAGAAAACGAAAACTACAGGAGCCTACTAAGCTGGACAAAGAAGATATTAAAATATTAAAATTAGACAGATTCATTTCAGACAATGGAAAAACTCCTGAAAAAATTAAACCTCACCGCCCGAAATCATTAGATGACCTCAATACACTGAAATCCAAAGAATCTTGTTTAACTAAAAGAAAGTCAAGTGTTGAATATTCCCCAGTCAAACAAAATTATTTCGACTGGGAAGAAACTCAATCGCCAAAAACGAACTTTTCTAAAGATCAAGATACTAAACTTAGCGAATTTAAAGGTCTGATAGGTGAAAGCAAATGCAAGGCGAAAGTAGTCATAGACGTAAATGACTTCAATCTTAAACCAAGCACGGAAAGTTCTGAAGACGAAATTCTTCAAAACTATAAAGTCCAAGTTGAATCGAAGCTGAATAATTTAAATATTCAGATACCCAGGCCAAAGCCTTTAGACAGACAAATTGCAGATCCGTTTACTAAATCGGAAACTAACTGCTTAATAGATAGGTTCCTAAAAAATGAGAAACTAAGTTCTGAAGAAATGGAAAAGATAAGGAAGATAATATCTTACAAAAGACTGGTTCAGCAGTTAAAGAAGATAAAATCGCCAGATATTTCCAGTTCGCCCATGAATCCTGCCTGTGAAGTTCGAAACGAAATGAGCAAAAGAGAAGCGAAGCTTCTGCTCAAAAAAGATCAAGGTAAGAAGAAAACCCGATTTCGAAATTTGTACTCTCAATCAGAAAGTGCATCAGAAGAAGATTTTAGGAAAGAATCTAAGCGCGGGGATTACTCGGTAGTTCAGTCGAACTGTTTAGCAGGGGTAGTGCCTAAATTAATCATCAAGAGAAAGACTGAGATGCCTCTACCCGTTGTAAGGCTAGAAAGGCTAGATCTTGGTCTGCTTGAAGATAAACATAGCCGATACGCCGTTTAGTGTTATTTAAAAGGTTTATTCAAATTATTTGACAGGTTTATTTAATAATTCGCTAAAACAGGTTTACACGACATTTTAAGGACGTCAAAGGCTTCTAAAAAGTATAATTTTTTATATACATTGCTAAAAAGATCAAACCTTCAGTCCTACTTTGCTTGTTTGGAAGGAATAGTACATGCAGAAAAAGAAACGACATAGTATCAATGTTGCAATTCACAGGTGGAGTCATGTCAACGTCGATACTACATCCTTTCCTCTCCTGCACATGCGATCGCCATTTACTATTCTTTGTTCTTGTCAAGTATGTATACAGTATGTATAGAGAATTATTAAGAAAAAATGTCAAGTGATGTTCATAAACCTTGTTAATAGTGATACAGGGACCAAAATACCAAAGTAAGTTGTTAATTGTTCCAATTTTATGTTTCTAGTTAGTTTTTATAAAAAGTCTTATCTAGGTTATAATTTATTGTTTGGTTATTTTTGGGTGTTGTTCTCAAAATAGAGCTGATAGATGTGCAAAACTGATCTCGAAAATCTAACGCATTCTAACAATATACATTCCAGTTAAAATAATTTATAGAAATGAATATAGATATTTTTTAATTTAATGTACATAGTAAAAATAGGGAATATATTTAACTTGCTTGATTACGCTGGTATTAAAACTGGTACAATAGACGGATAGTTAGCAAAATAAACCTTTATTGTATCTTTTGATTATTAAAAACTAAAAGCGTTGATGTGATAAAACTGTGCCTGCAAAAATATTTGATCGTTTTATACTAGCACTAAATATCTATATTATAAGATAAATAAGTTAAACTTTTAATTTTTAACAAATGTATTTCTTGAGGATTTTTGATAAAATTTCATCAAAGATCATTTAAAAATTGGATACAGATTATGTTAAAAACTTACCTCATATACCGTTATTAATATAAACAAATCGCCCGCAATTTCCTTATCGAAAACGGCTTTTGGTCGAATCTGCTGAATTTTATATATGTTTTTAATTAATTAAAAGTGTTCATAGGTACAAAATTCTCCCATGACCAGTTTTTGAGATACAGGGCGTTGAACTTGTGAATTCTTATGATTTTCAATAATACTTAAGAAGTAAACATTGTAATTTTGCTGAGATTTAAGGAAGCGTCCGTTAGTTACGTGATGTGTCATCCTTGATGAGATTTGGTAACATGCAGTGGTATCCCCCTCCCCTTCACGTGAGATTTACCCTATAATTTTTAAATCATTTCATTTATTTGATGTGCTCATGTATGCTTTATACCTCTAAATTTCTAAAGGTACCGTTTCGAAACGCGCGACAGACGACAGCAGAAGCGACGGCAAAGAAGACCAAAAACGGTCTCTTCATGTCTGAACACATGTAATTATATGAAACACATTTCGCAAGGCGCGACCAGTGCAAGAGACAGAAGTCGACGACAGATAGATCGGACTGGGGGTGGCGTTTGCTACCTGTCTCGCTTAGTCATCGCTTGTATTTCGAGGTAATTAGTTGATATTTTATAGAAATGTTAGTTGCAAAGTTCTTTCGATCTCTATCCTGGGCAGTGTTGCAAGATGAACATTTGCTGGAACAGTAGGTGGGCGAAAACAGTAGATTTTAATACAGGGGGAAATAATTATAATTTGCAGTGTAGTAAATAAAAAAAAACAAGTATATAAGAAACGAAAAATAAACATTTTTTTACCCAAATTAGAAAGTAAACAAAGAATAAAAACAAATAATAACATTTTTAATATATACTTAATGTACGAAAACAAAAGTATTCTGAATCAGATAATTCAAATACGTTGTGTTTGGCATGCGTGTTCTTTGTTGCATTTTAAATAAAAACATAATGATTATCTTGAGGTTTTTTTTTATGGGGCAAACCTACAATAGTGACTGCTTATTACGCTGCTTTTACTTCAGCAAATTAACTAGAGAAAATATTCTTCGACCATTTGCTGAAGAATAAGGAAAACTTAATAAATTAAGAACAAAATTTGCTAAGTTGGCGAAAACAGTAGATTTCATGCCTAAAACAGGAGAACAGAGACAAAAACAGGGGATCTACTTAAAAACAGTAGGTCTGGCAATACTGATCGTTCCCTCGAATGGTTGTCTGCGGTTGTCGTGTCGCCTGTCTCCTTGCTTCCCAAATGTGTGAAGCGTAACGTAAGTGAATCTGTCTCCTTTGCCGTCGCGTCTTTTGTCGTCTGTCGCGCGTTCCGAAATGGTACCTTAAGACTTAATACTGTGGTACATAGTTTTCTGAAAAATAAGAGGTCAAAAATGATACTACGTTTAAGGTGCACTATAACTAATTAAATTAAATTTAATAAAAGTAAAAAAAATCTAATTCCTAATTCAGTCCATGAGCATTTATGTGCTAAATAAATGTCGTAAATACTGATAAAATTTTATAAACAGTAAATAAAGTCGTCTCTCATTGCGTAGACAATATTTAGTATCACATAACTGAAATTCGACAATTTTGTTAGATAACTGCTTTTACCAGCAAACCGCAGAACTATTATTAATACTTTGTAAACTCTGTAAGGTATATTTCAACTTTATATAACTTTTCACTCTACTTGTATGAGAAGTATATATATTTTTGTTGATGTGATGTACTTGTTTGGGACATATAACGATATACAGAGGTATTGTTAAAATAGAGACACTCACTGAACTAACTATTTGACTCATCCCGTGTATGTGTTTTTTGTTATAATAATAAAGTATAGTTTAAGTTAATTAATAATCCATTTATTATCATTATTTTAGGCGTTAAACGAATTTTTAAACAGGCACTTTTTTATACTTTAATATAAAAAATTACTCACTATATGTTAGTCACAAATATCTTAGAAGGTCAAACCATTAAGATTTATGAATGTCAGGAAAAGGTTAATTCTTTAAATATTTTTGAAAATTGTGAGAAGTCACAAGTTCAACATCCTGTATCTCAAAAACTAGTAATAAGAGAACTTTGTGCGCATGTACATTTTTAACTAGAAAGTCAAAAACTGCAACATTTTATAAAAAATTCAGCTAATCAACCGGAAGCCATTTAACATAAGGAAGCTGAAGAGTCCTTTAAAAGAGGTTGTGTCTTCTTTACAGTATATTTCCATTATCTTTATTTATTACTCCCAGATTATTTTTGACCTATTAACCACTATGGAAGAACATAAATGTATAATTTGTATCCCATTTTTGAAATAACTTCAAAATGTTGACCATCTTTCAGTTCTATTGGGGGACATATTGATTTATTTGTTTGGTGCAGATAATACTATTGTTTATTTTTGTTTTTGTTAGCAGATTATCTAATTGTTCCTGATATTAAAATATTTAATAGTCGTTAAGTTCGTACATAAATTTGACGTCAACAGTAACATTCCTTAATTTCAAAATAGTCTGCAACTTTCTCTTTCAATTCATAGATATTTATATAAAGGATGTCACAAATATCGCCAATCGAAATTTTAACTTATACATATATTGACCAAATGGTTAAAAATATTTCTTCTTTTAATAAAAAATATATTAATATAAAAAGTATTACGAAGATTAACTCATACATTTTTACTTCAAATTGTGTAATCCCAAATTCTTATTAAAAATAATAAACTCGTAATAATTTTTATAATTTGAGAAACTAAAATGTTACTGACCTAGATTTGAATAAACTTTTTTAAAAAATGGCGACATCTTTATGTGACGATTTATTTTCTAGTATGTTGCAGCTACATTCATATGAAAGTACAATTTGTGTTAGAAATATATATCTATACAGAGTTTAAAAATTGTTGTTTGAAATATAAATATAAAAAAATATTTTTCGTAAAAATTTGAATTGAAATTTGTGCCGGATTTGTTAAATATGCTGAGAAATAATTTAATAGATTATATAAATATATTCCATATCGATTTGAAATAATTGTTTTACATTTAATACAGGTATAAAAATTACCATTATTATTATTATTTTACAAATATTTTCATACATTGAATTTATAAATAATTATTTCAAATCTTTCAAACCTCCTTTATCTGTCTTATCAGTCTTTGCAGATCAGATACAGTATTATAGTGGCCTTTCCCACGAGAGTGTAATGTCTTTTTGGAAGTTAAATTTACACATTTTTAGAATTTTTCACACGTTTATATCTACTTGTAATTTACAAAGATTATGTATTGTGCGTTCAATGTACTTCAAGATTTCTTTTTTTTTTTTGTTGGAATGAACTAATTGCAAAAGAATTAAAAATGCGATTGCCTAATGCTAAAAGTTTTGAAAAACAAGAATGCCTTAATATGCCTTTATTAAAGTTGAAAGAATACGTACCTATTTTGTTAAAAAATCATTTAAGCATTGCCGCCAAAATATGTTTATATTAGACATTATTTTTACAAGGTACGTTTCTTTTCGCATCGCTCTATTTAATATTTAGTAAGATTTTTTTAGATGACAACAAAATGTTAACAGTTCCATCACATGAACTCATCCAACGGTTGTTTAAATATTTTTTGTTCTGTCACTGACATTATAGTTAGCTGCAATTAGTTATTAAAATATGAATTTCGGGGCTAAGATAAATTGTTATTTTAAAATTTTGCCTTTGCTACGTTTGAAAAGTACCTCCTGGAGCGGAGTAGAGCTAGTAGATTTTTTAGTCACGTGATCATCGAGCTTATGTGGATTAAAAGAACCGCTATGGATTTGTTTGTGTTTCCCGTTTTCATTAAAATAACAAACTTAGACCTTTCATTTAAATCAAATTTGATCTCTTGTCTCGTGGTTTTTGTTGCAAGTTGCAAAGTAAAGTTAATATTTAGCTTGTGGTATTTTTCGCTTTTTGCTTTCGCTAGAAAATAAACCATGTTCTCATTTCTCATTTTTATAAATATTTTTTGCTCTTAATAACCAAACACGTAAATAATATGAAAAAGAATAAACTGCAACACAAGAGAAGGAACGTCGTCTGTACATCTCAGAGAAGTACATCCTTTGTAAATTGTCACATAAATTACATTTACTCCAAAAGCTCTAAAATTTAATTCGGAGTAAATAGATCTTACTCGACTTACCAGCTCTGCATTAAAAGACCACGGAGAAGCCACATCGAGAAGCCACAGATGTATTAAAAGAACGGCTTCGAGTAAAAAGAGAAAAACGAGGTACCTTTCAAATGCAGCACTTATCGATAAACTGGCAACAAAATACAGTATAAGTAAGTAGAGTCCACAAAAGTATATTTCTTATTGCTCAAGAAGCGGCACAGTTTTCAAAATACATTAATTACTTATAGCTGATTTTTATTAACTAATGTGAATATAAGAAAAATGGAAATCAACATAAGCAACTAGGTCTCTTAATTTAACGATTAATTTATACAGACAATCAAATTTTGGCATAGAATTTCGGTATTTTATGCAACTTAAATATGACGCTGTTATGTTTAACAGTATATTTTTTTATGAAATAACCTTTTAATCAAAATTATTAGGCTCTGCACTTATAGTTTTATGATTTAGAATTCTGGTTTTCCTTTTGTTCCATAGTGAATTTGTCAAGTCTCATTTTATTTTTGTTGTTTTAATAATTTTCATTGATATCAGGAATAGACGAGAAAAAATACAGGTTGTAATTTGACACAAAATGAAACATTATTTTAAGGGGAGGGGTAAGGTTAATTCGTGCAAAAAAAAGGCACATTTTTGTGAATTTTTCTTGACACATTTAAAAATCTGTTTATTTAAACTAATGGTACATTAAACTATTACATTCAAAGAATATTGTGTCAAATTTTCATGTAGAAATATTAAAAAATACGGTAATGGCAGAAATTATTCGGATGCGTCTCGGAAAAAAGTAGAATTGCGGTGCCCCTCCTAACTCGGTGCTGGTTCATCAGACATAAAAAAATTAAAGTTCTCTCGTTACATAATCGTTTTCCCCAGGTAACGCTGGGAGGGTTTTTCGAAATTTCAATTTTTCACTTTTTGAGAACACTGAAGTAAAAAAACGCGATTCTTGCGAAAAAAATAGGCTAATTTGTTATCATAAAATAACAAAATATTAACAAATTACCTCGTAAATTATGTACAGAAATAGTGTTCAAAATGATAGGTGCAGTAGTTTTGAGGTTATGAGGGGCACCGACTTTGGAAACGTGAGTTGTGGGAAAAACGCTTTAAAGTTTTAAACACTAAAAAATTTGGAATAAAACGTTTATAAGCGAGTTTTATTAGCTTATCTCACACTGAATCATCGATGCCAGGTCCATAAAAGATGTTGCTTTCATTCATGATGTCTAAAGCATCTTTTTGCTCCTGTCTACGACGAATCCTCATTCATGAGCGCTTGATCCACTACTGATTCCCATGTCTTGCATGTATGGTTAGTAAAGCAAAAGAACATGCCAGGCCAATGCTACACTAAATTATATACAGTACAGTTAAAAACACGTTTATACTTGTGGTAAAATTTCTATAAAGAAAGGTAGGAGGTAAGGTTAGGGATTATATAGAGAACCAAACAGCTGCCAGGCAAGGGCGGCTCCGAGACGAATTTTCGGTGGGGGCCATTGCCTTTAGCTATTCTCTTTTTAGCATATTTTTTTGAAAATAAGGCTCATAAATCGTAAGAATTTTCATCTCGGGGGGGCTCCCATAGCCCCCCCACCCCCTGGAGCCGCCCTTGTTGCCAGGTAACAGTAGCGCGCTCGGGCCGGGCAGGTATTTTCTGATGCGCTGAGTCATGTATGATGCGCGGTTACTCAAACCGCTGTATCTTCGTTAGTTTTGCTCCGATTCATCTCAAGTTTTCACACAATATTCTTGAAAGGTTCTCCATTCTCAAAATCAAATATTAGAAAATACAAAAAAAAATTTAACTACTTTATTCCCCCCTAATTAAATTCCTCCTAACTTAATAAAATATTGATTTACCAATCACTGTCAGAGATACTTGTAAAGTACTCTTTTACGAATTGTCTGTCAATTTGATTACTTTAGTTTAACAGCGTGATTACCTAATCACAAAATTAAGAAGCTTGCAAAGTACCGGACTATATATTTAGTTATGATTGATTCTATATTAAAATAACTAATTGTAACAATAATAAAAGATATAAAAATGAGAAATTCAAGTCAAATTTTTTTTTTATACATATCGTGCCTTAAATTTTGCTATCTTTAAATTTGCATTTAGTTCTTCCAAAGTAAATAATGTTCTATAATTCTAAGTATTTTTTAATTTAAGCTATCTACGGGTAAAAATTAAATACCAAAACAACATTTTCTACGAAGATTTTACAAAAAAATATTGCATTTAGTAATGCTAATAAAAAAATTAAGATCGGTTATTTCTGCAATGGGTAAATTAAAAATATTTTAGAATTAAGCATTTTCTGTATCTATTAAATATTATTTGTTTTTTTCTTTCTTGACTGTGTGTATATTTTTTTGATTTAAATATCATAGAAAAACTTGTACCATAAATATTGTAGCGGGGTGTCTACTATCTAGTCTGTTTTGTACAGGAAAAAATAAATGTAAATAATTATTTAATCATAAGTAGTACGTTTTGTATATTTTATATAAAATAAATATTATAGTTAATTATAGTTAAAATATTAAATATTACAGTTTTTCTATGATACAAAACTGTCATACATGGTATTTTATGTGCACTACATTGTAAAGGTGAATGATTTTTTATTATGTATTGCATAATAATACGTCAAAAATGTAGTTGATAAATTAAAAGCCCAAAATATTTTCCCAAAATCCTGAAAAAAACTAAAGGTTATGTTGTTATAAAATGAAATGATATGCAGATATTTCGAGGTCATCTTTAATTTTCTTAGATCCCATCATGTAACTTTCTAATATTGAGTTTTTGTTCATTTCTAGATTACTATGCGTCCAAGTTTAGTTTACTGTAGAATATTTTCAAAATATTCTTTGTCACGCTTTTTAAGTCACTGTCTGATTAAATTTCATTTTTGTAAAATATTCTTAACAGAAGGAACAATTTAATAAATATTTATTTTATTTTAATAAAAATTAAAAAAGTTCAAATAAATAATTTCTGGACTTTTAAAATAAAAATATCCAATGTAATAAGAAAGGAAACTTCAGTAAACAAAAAATCGTTTAAACATTTTGTATCTTAAATAAAAAATCATTTACCGAACATTCACAAGATGTTTTCTCATGTCAAATTTTTTGCTGTTCTCTGATTTAAAAAAAAACTATTGCTTGGAAGTGTGTAATTCTGTATTTCTTAGTATTATTTGTTACCATGCATTACTGAAACGAATAGATTGTTGGTTTTATTTTTTGCTAGAAAATTTGTTAGATAAATCGTGAGAGTGCCTTAGCACCAATATTGACTGTTATTTTTGTACCAATTTACTGGTAAATTGTATATTTAGCACTGTGTTATTAAAAAGGTTAAAAAAAAATTTCGTGTTTTCTTTATGGTTCCTTTATACCAATGCCAAAGATTGTCAGTTAATTATGATGATTAGGGACCGGACCTTATCTGTTAAACTGAATATAGGATGCTGCCTATGCCTATTACAGAAAATTATAATAAAAAAATAAAATTCTCATGTACAGTTGGCAATTATTAAAACATTTTGTTTCTTTGAAAATATCAAGTGTAGACAAAGGATTGTCTCATAGACGTAGAAATATCAGAAAAGAAAATAAATTATTATCCAAAACAGTAAGAAACTATCCCCTAGCCACATAATATCACAATGTACACTTATTTATAATTCTCTTAACTTAAAAAAGTACATAAGTCATGTAAAAATGCAAATAAAGTAGCTTACATTTAAAATATAGAAATAAAACAACATTGGTTAATAAGTAAAAAACGTCATATTGCTATATAAAAGAACAAAGATATTGTTACGCAGCACCCTACAGTAATTATAGGAAACGTACAGATAGAAAAAGAAGTGGAATGTTACTCATCGCCCTACAGTGTGCTGCGATCGTCATGAGTAAAAGTACAAGTAAAAGAAAGTAGAATACTCCAGAAATGTCATTAGCCGTCAAGAATATTCTAGACGACAGTTCGAGAAGGGTCAAGCAAGCTATATAAGGATGATCCTGACGTCAGTTTTCAGTTTTAGGATAGACGTTACACGTTAATGTTATCAGTTGCATTGTTAAAGTTCAGTTGAAATAAATTGTGATACCAAAAACCTGCGTAACAGTTAAAAAACTCATTAAAAAGACTTCGTTAAATATAAATATACAAATAAACTGTTAACCGGGCGGGACGTTAAATACGTCAAACGTAAACAATAGCGGGTACGTCCTTGATGCAAATGCATGCTTATAAGAACTTATACTTTCCTATCTGTATACAGATAAGGAAAGTATAGGAATCATGATTTTTTTGTGTATGTGCGTGCGTGTGTGTGTGTGTGCACGTGCGCGTGTGTGTCTGTATCTGTATCCACCATAACTCATAAACCAATACAAAGAAAAGCACCAAATTTTAAACTTAAGCTTTATTCCGGCCTCCAGAGAACTGATTAGATTTTGGGCAGTCAGAACATTTGGGGGGGTACTTTATAGGTGGTCATTTTTATATTTTATAGAATATATCCGTTATTTAGGTACGTTTGGAGAAGAACATTCTTCAAATAAAAGTAACTTACAGTATTATCTATAATTATTGTTCTATATAAAATTTTTCTAAAATGGTCCGTATTCGAGAAATTTGCCAAAATCTAAAAAAGAATAATTTTTTATAAAAATTGTTTAAATAAAAGTTGTTTATAATATAATTATGTATAATTTTTATCCTATACATAATTTCTCTAAAATGGACCGTATTCAAGATATTGGAGAAAATGTGTAAATTTCGAATTTTGAAGAAAACTCAAAAACGGATGAAGGAAAAAACATTAAATTTTAAACTTTAGTTTTATTTCGGCCTGAGATGAAATGATTAGATTTTGTACAAAGTTGGAACATCTGGGGGGGTACTTTATATGGGAGGCTGTTTTTATATTTTATGAAATATATCTGTTATTTACGTTTGGAAAAGAAAATTCTTCAAATAAAAGTTATTTTTGCTATTATTATCTATAATTTTTGTTCTAGGTATACAACATTTTTCTAAAATGATCCGTAATCGAGAAATTTGACAAAATGTAAAAAATTAATTTTTTATAAAAATATATCTGTTATTTATGTTTGGAGAAGAAAATTGTTCAAATAAAAGTTACTTCTAATATTATTATCTATAATTTTTGCTTTATGTAAAATTTTCCTGAAATAGTTCGAAAAATTTGACAAAATGTGCAAAATTCTGATTTTTACATGATTTTTCTAAAATGGACCGTAATGAAAAAATTGGAGGAAAATTGCTAAATTTAAATTTTTCAGTATTTTCGTTTTCAATGAGTATCTATAAAAAAATGTTTTACTACAATAGATTGTACAAAATAACCGGAAAAAAGCCTATAATAATAGGAAAGTCATGTGTTGCGACACATCAGATTTTTTTTTTGAAAAGTCATATAACAAGACAATTTTCTTGAAGATATAAAAAAAATTGAATTTGAATATTTTAAAAATAACTTTGATTTAACACAAAATCTGTGACAAGTCATTTTCAGCAAAACGATTAGCTTCTGAAACCTCCAATTGTTAACTGTTTCATATTTTTTTTTGTGTATCTAAATAAAAAATACATATTTTTTGTAATCTTTATAATTGTAAAATTTATAATTTTTTTAATTCGAAGTTTCTATTTTTTTCTTAGTATTTTCTATTTGTAATTTTGTATTTTGCTTTGTGCTTTATATATAAATAAACGAAAAAATATATATTTCATATTCTTTTCATTTATTTTAAGCATAAATAAAAAAAATAACATAAAATTACATTCTCCAGGCGTCATGTATTGACACGTCTTAGTGAAAGAGTTTGCGCCCGTTTATGCTACGTAATTAAAAACGGAATTCCCCGATTAAGGCCAAGTTCAATGACAAGTGACGGCAACTTTTTTATCACAAGAAATACAGCTCTGAACGATAATATTTTCAAAAACTGTTTTCATAAATGGGTTCAAAAAACTGTAAAAAATGATGGAAAGTCTATGGTTTGTTTTACTTTTAATGCAAAATATTTTAATAAGTGATATTTAACAAATATTTAAAAGTTATGGACTTTCCATCATTTTTTATAGTATTTAAAAGTTAAAACGCAACATACATTCTTTTATTTTTGCCTAATTATTTCAGGATTCTTGTGATAAGATTTAAAAATGTAGGGCCCATAAGATGCTGCCATCTGAACAGACGGAATAGACACTAAAAATTGAAAAATTGCAACATCGCTCCCTATGCAGACGAATGTAAAATGGCTTAGCCCAATTTGACCATGTTTATGGGTGAGGGGCGAGGTGGTGTGTGGGGAAAGGTTGCAAGTAAATAAATTATTCTATAAATGCTATTTTCTGTTTGGAACACAAGCATGTTTGTTTTGAAAGTTTGACGTTTATGGTTTGACGTGTCATTTCAATTTAATGGACTTTAATAATTTAAAAGATGCAATGTACTTATATTATTTATATATATATTATTGTAGATCCAGGTATGTTTTCGGTTTTTATTTTATTTTTATTTGGCTAGTTTGATAATATCACAATATTCAAATTTAGTAAAAAATAATGTAATAATATAACAATTATTTTAATAACATTCTAAATAGGAAATGTAATTTAACTGCAACAGTATTTGCATATATGGTCTGTGAATTTCATCTGTTTCCAAATAATTACCCTTAAATATTTGAATTTTTCTACTAAATGTATAGATTTTCTTCCAATTTCCTATATTGTTTGTCCACAAACTGCATATAGTTATTACTTATCAGCTTATATTTTGTTTTAGGTATTTGTGTTGATTTTTAACAAATGATTGCAACATCATTTATAAACATTTTGCAGAGTTTCATTGACAATTAACTCTTAGTTATCTGAATCCTTACAACTTACAAGAAACATAGATAAGGACATCAAAGGCAAACAGGTAAATGTCATATTAATTATTGCAACATTAACAATCATTAATATAAATTAAAAATAACAGGGGACCTAATTTTCTTCCTTTGATGTGGTTAATTTCTTCTGATCAGAACAGCGATTCTTTTGTGCCAACTCGACACATTACATACAGAATAGAGAGAGACATTACATCAAAATCGCTGTCTGTCGAACAAAGATAGGAGTCTCGATAGGAGACGAGATGAGAATCCCACTACATATGTTATTTAATTTTAATCTCTCTGACCTGATACTTTGATAATCTACATGCTACCCCAATGCATGCTTTATAGCATAGATATAAAAACCACCTTTATACCAATACTTTTTAATTTTTTTATCGAATGGTTTTGATCAACAGAATCAAGTGCATTTTAAAGAAATACAATTAATTTTTAATTGTACATATGGCGGGTTGTACAATAGGCAGTTAAAATGTAAACTTAGTTTAAACTGTGAACCTTGTTGTATACTCATCGGTTATTGTTAAACATAGTTTTAAAAATGACATTTGTTTTTGAATATAACTAGTTAAAAATAAAACTCTTGTTAGTTAAAATATGTTTAGAATATTTTTTGTACAACCTGCCCATAATGTATTTTGTAATAATTCAAAATCATAATATTCTTGTAAGGAAGTTGGAAAGCTTAGGGTTTGATCAGTCGCTGTTGAGATTATTTTCATCTTACCTAAATCATCGTTGTAATTATGTCTTTTACAATGAATTTTCATCTTCACCCCTCACAGCAACATCTGGAGTTCTACAGAGCTCCAATCTGGGGCCACTATTATTTGGTATATTTATAAATGACTTGGCAATAAATTTAACCTGCTGTTCGCTGCTGACTTAAAAATATTTACCTCAATCTCATCAATTCAAGACTGTTACTTTTTACAGACCCAACTTGGGAATCGTTGAAAATTGGTTTAATGAAAACAAGCTGTTTATGAATGTGTCTAAATGTAAAGTATGTTCCTATATATACTAGAAGTAATAACAAGGTGGAGTTTGATTATTTATTTAACAGCCTACCTTTATCGGACTTGTGGCACAAATTGAAGATTAAGGTATATTATTCAACCAAAAAGTTACTTTTTCGGATTATGTTGAAAATACCGTTGCTTCCGAGGTTGCTTCTGCGTTGAAAAGCTTAGGGTTCTTAATTCGTAATACTCGTTCTTTTACAAACTCTTAAAGCTTGGAGATCCTTACTTTTCTTTAGTTCGTTCCAGGCCAGAATATGCATCTCTTGTCTGGAACCTTATTTACAATATTCATAAAAGATCATTGGAAAATGTTCAGCGGCGATCTCTTCAGTACCTTTCTTTTAAAATAGATGAGCTGTATCCAATTCGAGGTATTGAAGAATCTCTGCTTCTT